TCCTCCTCCCCCCACCTCCAAAAAGAACCCAAAGGACATCGTTTTGACTCGGTAGTTCTCCTTGGGCAGCATCAGGGCCTGGGAACCTGTGCCGGGTACGGGGTGGTTAGGTGGTTAGGTATGTTGGTTGGATTAGGTATGTAGATAGGTGAGTGTAGGGTCGGTAGTTATGTAGGGCATGGGTGTGTACCATCCCGGTACGTACAGTGCAGCCCTGGGTCGGTGAGTTCGACACTCGTGGCTCATGAACTACGTGTGTAAGTGGCAGTGCCAGTGCCAGTGCAGGTGCAGGTGGCAGTGGCAGTGCCAGTGCAAGCAACTGCACCGCGCACCGCGACAGGCTGCTGCCGCACTGAGGGGTCCTTGTGGTTGGTGGGGTTGACAGCCCCTCTGCCGGGGGCTTCTCCCCCGCCTCACCTGCCTTGTCCAGCGCGGGCTTTCCCTTCAGGTTCATGAGGGTGGGAATGGAGGGCCCGTGGATGTCGGCGTCCAGCAGCCCCACACGCAGGCCCAGACGGGTGGCCATGGCGACAGCCACGTTGACTTCGGGAGGGAAATCAGGCGCAGGAAGGATTGGTTGCAGGGTGCAGGAGGGAAGTGGGTGAGGGGTACGGGACGGGGGTGTTACAGGCGCGGTGTTGGATGGAAGCTATACATGGTGGGTGGGGGGATTCGGATAATAATAATGGGGGATTGATAATAGTATGGGGTAGCAAGGAAAGGGGCTGGGGGGTTGGCTGCGCAAAATGGTGGAAAAGGAATCTCAAAGAGTGAAATGGAAGATGGCGGAAATCGTGCTGAGGAATTTTTGTTGCTACGTGTGCTACGTTGCTACGTGTGCAGGGTTGCAGTCTTGAGTTGCGATCGGGCAGCAAGAAGAAGCCTTCGGAGCCAAGAGCTTTACCTGCGGTTGTTGACTTTCCCACACCGCCCTTGGCAGAGGTTATGGCGACGATGTGTTGCACGTCCTTCAGGCCGAGCTTTTTTTGAGGCCCAACGTGGTGTTGCTGCTGGCGAGCGGCACCATGAGCAGCTGTCGTCGCAAACCGCCAGCCGGTTGCAGAGAGCCAATCAGCTGCACATCTCCACATCGTAATTTCGATGTGTTCGTTACGATGTCAGATGCATTTGGCGAAGCAGTTTAAATGCGTGGTAGGACTCAACCGCTAATCGAATCCTTTCGGGTTAAGCATGCAGGTTACGTGTCATGTCGCCAGATTGAGTTTTGAAAGGGCAAAATTTTACCTGCTAACTGGCAGCGCGTGCAGAACAAGACTTGCATTACCGTTGTCGGTTGAGTCGCGAGAACGAAAGTTTCAACGGAACGTCTCCTTGCACATCTCAAACATGCATAAAGAGACATACCTATGTTCGCTGATGCATGTAGCCTGTTTGATATGTCATAGCGCAAGGACACGTTGCAAGCCCGTTAGTAGGAGCATCATTTGCCGATGATGTCTCGACTCCAAGGACCATTAAGGCCCAGAGCCGCTGTATCAAATATACCTTGCCTTTCCCTATGTAGCACATCTCCTTCGCAGCACCCAGCATGCAAGCTTATGGCTTTCCCCGTCAAAATCGCATTTGGCTGCACCGCGCCGGCAGGCGCAAGCCCCATACAAAGACCACGAATGCGATGCAGCAAATGCATCTTACAAGCTACTGCTGACCAGCAGCCAGCGCAATCGTCGTCCAAGAATCCTCTGGAACAGCTGCGCATCACGACCGACCCACGTCGCCGCAGCGAGTTGCTGCTAGAACTCTACAGGCGCTGGCCGGAGTTTGAGGAACGCTACGTGCCATCCCCAGCGGAGGATTGCTTCGCAAAGGAGCTGGGGTTGAGCCAGTCGACTGTCATGCTTGCAGCCGTGCTGGTACGACCCCTCACTCCAGCCTTCTGCTGATGCGGCTTTTATTCCGTTGCGGCTTCCTGGTCCTAGGCCCCCAAGTCCAAACCGAACCTAAGCCGAGGGTACGCTCCAGACTGCCCCAGGCGTCCAGGGAGGCCAGGCTGAGGATCCAAGGGGTGACCAAAACCACGCAAGCACCTCCCCGAATCCGTCCCAACCCGGCCGCCTAAATGCGTCAACCCAATCCGCACATTTCCCTTGTTGAATCTCCCATTCCCCGTTGACTCTCCCTTTTTATATTCCTCTCCGCCCTCTTCCTTTTTTCCCAAATGCGGCCGCCTGCAGAACCCCGGGCTCTCGTCCCTGGATGCGACCTCCCAGGTGCTGCCGTCCCTGAGGGCCTTACGATCCGCGGGCCTCCCCCCCCAGGATGTGTGGTTCCTGGCCGCCAAAAAACATCAGCTGCTGGCGGAGCCCGCGACGTTATCGCGGTGGCTGGATTTCCTGCTGGTGTACGGCATGCAGCTGGTACGGCCGTGGTGCTGGTGTTGGTGTTATGGCGATTATGATGGTGGTGGTGCGGGCTGTCGCTTGGGACGAGATAGTGATGATGGAGATGTTTCGCCATGATGATGATGGAACTCCAGAAAAGGTTGCGAATGTGATGTTGCCTGCTCAAAACGGTGGATTAATCCTCCCGCTTCCCCTTCTCCCCCTTCTCCCCCGTCTTCCCCTTCTGCCACCCAACAGAGTGACGTCCAAAACTTCCTGTTGCGCTCAACCCCAGACTTGCTGTACGGCACCACGCTCTACCAGGCGGGTGCTGTCATATCCTTCCTCAAGTCGTTGGGCCTCAAAAACTATCTGCTTGCCTCCCGCGTGCTGTGCGTGTGGCCGGAGCTGCTGGGCCGCGACGTGGAGGGGCAGCTGCGGCCGGTGGTGACGTTTCTGATGTCTCTAGGGTTGGAGGTTGCTGCTGTGGGTCGGGTGGTGGTGATGTGGCCGGAGGTGCTGCTGCGGAGTGTGGAGGGCCAGCTGGCGCCGTGGGTGACGTATCTACGGGAGCTGGGTTGCAGCACAACGCAGGTATGTACGGCGTGGATTGTGCGTGTACGGCATGAATGTATGTGTACATGTGCGTGTGTGTGTGGCGTGCATGCGCGCGAGATCCTGAGAGCGCGCGTGTGTGTGTGTGTAAGAGGGAGGTAATGTGAGAATGTGTCAATGCAGGGTTTGAAGAATGTTGGCGGCGTGTTTTTGTTATGAGAAAAATACTTCCCTTTTTTGGCGAGTTTGCAGTATTTTGATGAGATTTTCGTGCTGCCTGCACTGCGTCATGTTCTTTTTCGGGCCATACATGCACGTGCATGTGCAGGTGGGAGATGTGATCGGTCTGTGTCCACACCTGCTGGGTTTCAAACCCGAGGAGGTGTTCGGCGATGTACTGCGAGCACTGGGGGATCTGGCGGGCATCTGTCGCGAGGATGTACGGCAGATGTTGTCATCCTCCGTGGCCTTTCTCATCGCGCCGTCGCCCTCGGATGGCGTGCGGGCGGCTCTGGAGTGCCTGCTGCGGCACGGTTTCGACAAGGAGCAGGTGCGCACCCGTGTTGTTTCAGATCATCTGAGCGGTGGGCGGGAACTTCGGGGGCAGGCACACGCGAGTAGCTTTACCAAAGGAAGTAGTCCAGCGTCCATGCTTAGTGTGTGTGTGTGTGCGTTTGTGTTGTGTACGCATGCAGGTTTGTGCTTGGGTGTTAAGTTGTCTGTCGGTTCGTCCTTGTGTCTATTATATGTTTTGTTTGTTTGTATTTGAGCTTTTCTGCTGATCCCTTTTCCCGCCACCAGTACCTTCCTAGTCACTGAGTTGCTTGGACTCTGGCCAAGTTTCCTCAACGACTTCCCCTTCCCTCCCCACCTTTCCGACCTGTCCACCTCGTCGAAGGGAGGCCAGGGTCAGGTCTCAAAGTCCCTTAGGTTTTTATCCCAACCCACCAAAACCCCAACTCCCAACTCCCAACCGCCCCAGGTTCGGGAGATGGTTCTGGCCCGCCCCGAGCTACTTGCCGCCAAGCCCCACGACCTAGAACGCAGTCTCAAATTCGTGTACCACACGGTGGGCGGCAACAACTCCACCGTTCTGTCCTGTCCGCTGCTGCTCACCAAGCCGCTAGGTCAGATGCTGGGGCCCAGATACAGGTGGGTCTGGTGTGGAGGAGGGGTAGCACCTCCCCCTCACAAAAGTCTTTTTTTCTCCGCAACACCTTATCACACTTATATACCCGTCTTTACTCCCCAAATGCTCCTTTCCTCCCCAAATGCCCGCAGTTTCATCCAGAAACAGGGTTTAGCGCATAAGTACGCCGGGGCGGATGGCAGCACCTTTGAGGTGCGTGGGGTCAAGCCCTGTGCGGAACATCCTGGTGCACACGGTGATGCAAAGTGCCGTTCTGGCCTCATCGGGAGATCTGAGGGGTGTTGAGGTGTATTATTACCCACCACGCCTCGAGGCCCCGTGCTGCTGCTTCCCACCATAATCTCCTTGCTTGTGTCGAAGGACCCCTGTCCCCACGCAGCCCTCCCCCCCTCCCCCCCTTTCCCGGTTTTCCTCCACTCACCCGACCGCACGTTTGACCCTCCATTCGGATACAGTTTTACAAGTTGTTAGTGGCGGAAGACGCCCAGTGGTGCGCGTCATTGGGGCTGAGCGTCAACGAGTATCAGGGATTCAAACTGGTGAGACAGGCCGTGAGGGAATTGGAGTCGGAAGGGTGCGCTCGGAACCACACATAGTCAAAAACACGCATAGTCAAAACACGAAGGGCGCCTGGCACGGCGCGGGTTTCAGCGGGGGTTTCATGGAGACGGCAAGAAGGGCGCCGCGAGGGAGGATGGGGGCACTAAATAAGTTGGAGACAGGAGGGGGAGGGATGAAAGGGAATGAGCGAAGGGCGGTTTCGGGGCCAGGGCGCCATTGTCTCGGACACCGGCACGATTGCTGACGGCACGACTGCCGATGAGATGTGTTTATTGCGTTTCGCGTTCATCCACGTCATGCATACGGCCCCCCCTTCGTTCATGGTCATCACCCACAACTGCGCAGGTTTGGGATGAGGAGTACAGCTGCACCAGGAAGCTGCCAGCGAGTTCCAAGAAGAGCTCAAGAAGCTCGGGATATACGAGGGCAGTTGAGAGGGGGCAGCTTAGGTAGCATAGATGGGGGGAAGGGCAGGAGTGGGGTCCATGTAGGGTGGGCTGGGAATCGGGTTGAAGGTGTTGCTCATGCAGGTGCTGAGGAGATTGCTCCGAGACCGGAATGGCTAGCGGTTCCTTTGTCTCCTTTTGTGTGAGAGCGGGGGGTTATGACGTAATGAGGCTGTGCTGCGAGAGGACACCAAGCCGGCGCTCAGAGAGCGCAGAGAGTAAGTGAATTCTACTGGTCTGTGTCTATGGAGTGGCTATTGGGAGAGAGTAGCGATGGAGGTAGGGAACATGTATGCTGTACGTGCGTATGTTGTTGTTACATGGTCGTGGGTGCGTTCCCCGTACCTGCAAACCACCCTAGTACGAGCCGAGGGCTCAAGGGCTGCCAAATCGCCTATAAGCACCATCCTACCTCGCACTTCCAACGAGACAAGTGAGGAAGTATACTAACGACCAAAGGGAACGATAGAGTTGCGGTGAGACCATATGCATTCCAGCATCCTTGCCAGGCGTTCAGGTTCCCACTTCATAGCGTCCTTCATATGTTCGAAGCGTGGGAAGCCCATATCAGATCTGATTTCGTCGTACACCGGACAGTCCAGCAAAATGTGTTTCTCATCCTCGATGTGGCTATCAGTGCCGCAGCAAGGGCATACTCGCTCCTCCCTAGGTATATAACGCCGTCCCTTACGCGCTCTGTTAGCCGCCAGTGCCCAACAGCAAAGCCTAAACTGCATAAGCTTGCGATTCGCCGAACGTGGGATAAACATTGTGATGTGCGGGAGCACCTCCTTCCTGCCCGCTTGCTCGGCCGCCAGACCCATCCAATGCTTATACTTCGCCATGTGGATTCCTGGTTGCTTGCCGTCTGACGGATACACGTCAGGCTGGACATCTGAACGCGTATGCTTCCAACCACTCACTAATCGGTCCTTGAACTCCAAAATCACACCTTCTGGCATTGGCCTGTTCATCAGCCACTCCACTCGTTCGTCTACCTCGTGTAGCCCTTGCGGGGCTTCTTTCCATACGTCGTGCCCCCAAAAACATAGAAAACGGAGGAGTAGTGTCCCCCATCCGGCCCCTTCGGGGTTGGAGAGGGATTCTGCGACCTCCTGTCGCAAAACTTGGTATGCCACAGACCCACGCAGACCCACGTGCGTGTGTATTCGCAGCCAAGGTATGGCCTAGAGTAGTTGGGGAGACAGCGAAGCGGTTTGGCAGCGAAGTGATGGGTTATTACCCGCAGCGCATTGCACCCTTATTGCTGCCTTTCGAGCCGGTGGTCTGGCACGTGGCGCAGAGCGGGGAGTATGACCATGCCAGACCATGGGTGGGAATTGCTACCCCATGTCCACCACCAGGACGTCCAGTGGACCCCACGCAGTGCCAAACAACATCTTGTCGAAAGCGTTGTTAACCATCGGGCCCCGCCAAACAACCGGCTCGTCACCCTGCCGTACCGCCGCACATGGTATTGGGTTGCATACGGATTGTAGGCAGGACCAGTCGTCGCTCAGGACAACAGTACGGTGTTCGAAAAGGGCGACCTTCATGTTTTCCTAGTTGCCCGCTTGTCTGTCTGTCTTCCATCCTATCTGTCAAATCTGTCGGCCAAAAAGTCCGACCGCCGTCTGTTTGCTTGTGTGTCTGTCTGTCCGTTGGGCGAAGCGCCTGCACCGCAAACCACCTGAACCCGGTTTCTTCAATTGCTGCCGTTCCTGCACACGCCCAATTCCCCCCCTCCCGCCGCCTCCAAGAACGCCTCTTGGTCAGTTCTACTCCTGGTACACTCTTGCCCTGGCAGCAGCTTCACTCGTTCGTGGTTCGTCTTCCCCCCCCTCCCCCCCTCCCCTCCACTCCCCCCACCTCCCCTGGAGCCCACCCCCTTTTTGCAACTCAACCCCCGGTGTGAGCCAGTAGGTCGCAATCAAGCCTTGCCCCTTGAGCTACGTCTCCACTCTCCACTCCCCTCCCCCCTCCCACCCACACTCAAAGCCTGAAGTCGCCATCCCAACAGCCCGGAAGGCTGTGACCCCCCAACCCCCACTCCTCCCCCCACTCCCCCCACCCTCCTCCTCCACCTCCTCCTCCTCCCCCCACCTCCAAAAAGAACCCAAAGGACATCGTTTTGACTCGGTAGTTCTCCTTGGGCAGCATCAGGGCTTGGGAACCTGTGCCGGGTACGGGGTGGTTAGGTGGTTAGGTATGTTGGTTGGATTAGGTATGTAGATAGGTGAGTGTAGGGTCGGTAGTTATGTAGGGCGCGGGTGTGTACCATCCCGGTACGTACAGTGCAGCCCTGGGTCGGTGAGTTCGACACTCGTGGCTCATGAACTACGTGTGTAAGTGGAAGTGCCAGTGCCAGTGCCAGTGCAGGTGCAGGTGGCAGTGGCAGTGCCAGTGCAAGCAACTGCACCGCGCACCGCGACAGGCTGCTGCCACACTGAGGGGTCCTTGTGGTTGGTGGGGTTGACAGCCCCTCTGCCGGGGGCTTCTCCCCCGCCTCACCTGCCTTGTCCAGCGCGGGCTTTCCCTTCAGGTTCATGAGGGTGGGAATGGAGGGCCCGTGGATGTCGGCGTCCAGCAGCCCCACACGCAGGCCCAGACGGGTGGCCATGGCGACAGCCACGTTGACTTCGGGAGGGAAATCAGGCGCAGGAAGGATTGGTTGCAGGGTGCAGGAGGGAAGTGGGTGAGGGGTACGGGACGGGGGTGTTACAAGCGCGGTGTTGGATGGAAGCTATACATGGTGGGTGGGGGGAGTCGGATAATAATCGTGCAGAGGATTTTTTGTTGGTACGTGTGCAGGGTTGCAGTCTTGAGTTGCAATCGGGCAGCAAGAAGAAGCCTTCGGAGCCGAGAGCTTTACCTGCGGTTGTTGACTTTCCCACACCGCCCTTGGCAGAGGTTATGGCGACGATGTGTTGCACGTCCTTCAGGCCCAGCTTTTTTTGAGGCCCAACGTGGTGTTGCTGCTGGCGAGCGGCACCATGAGCAGCTGTCGTCGCAAACCGCCAGCCGGTTGCAGAGAGCCAATCAGCTGCACATCTCCACATCGTAATTTCGATGTGTTCGTTACGATGTCAGATGCATTTGGCGAAGCAATTTAAATGCGTGGTAGGACTCAACCGCTAATCGAATCCTTTCGGGTTAAACATTCAGGTTTCGTGTCATGTCGCCAGATTGCGTATTGAAAGGGCAAAATTTTACCTGCTAACTGGCTGCGCGTGCAGAACAAGACTTGCATTACCGTTGTCGGTTAAGTCGCGAGAACGAAAGTTTCAACGCAACGTCTCCTTGCACATCTCAAACATGCATAAAGAGACATACCTATGTTCTCTGATGCATGTAGCCCACTTGATATGTCATAGCGCAAGGACACGTTGCAAGCCCGTTAGTAGGAGCATCACTTGCCGATGATGTCTCGGCTCCATGGTCCATTAAGGCCCAGAGCCGCTGTCTCAAATAAACCTTGCTTTTCCTTATATAGCACATCTCATTCGCAGCACCCAGCGTGCAAACTTATGGCTTTCCCCGTCAACATCGCATTTGGCTGCACCGCGCCGGCAGGCGCAAGCCCCATACGAAGACCACGAATGCGATGCAGCAAATACATCTTACAAGCTACTGCTGACCAGCAGCCAGCGCAATCGTCGTCCAAGAATCCTCTGGAACAGCTGCGCATCACGACCGACCCACGTCGCCGCAGCGAGTTGCTGCTAGAACTCGACAGCTGCTGGTCGGAATGTGAGGAGCGCTACGTGCCATCCCCAGCGGAGGATTGCCTGGCAAAGGAGCTGGGGGTGGGCCAGTCGACTGTCATGCTTGCGGCCGTGCAGGTACGGCCCCTCACTCCAGCCTTCTGCTGACGTGGCTTTTATTCCGTTGCGGCTTCCTGGTCCTAGGCCCCCAAGTCCAAACCGAACCTAAGCCGAGGGTACGCTCCAAACTGCCCCAGGCGTCCAGGGAGGCCCAGGCTGAGGAACCAAGGGGTGACCGAAACCACGCAAGCACCGCTCCGAATCCGTCCCAACCCGGCCGCCTAAATGCGTCAACCCAATCCGCACATTTCCCTTGTTGAATCTCCCATTCCCCGTTGACTCTCCCTTTTTATATTGCTCTCCGCTCTTCCTTTTTTCCCAAATGCGGCCGCCTGCAGAACCCCGGGCTCTCGTCCCTGGATGCGACCTCCCAGGTGCTGCCGTCCCTGAGGGCCTTACGATCCGCGGGCCTCTCCCCCCAGGATGTGTGGTTCCTGGCCGCCAAAAAACATCAGCTGCTGGCGGAGCCCGCGACGTTATCGCGGTGGCTGGATTTCCTGCTGGTGTACGGCATGCAGCCGGTACGGCCGTGGTGCTGGTGTTGGTGTTGGTGATATGGCGATTATGATGTGTGAATCAGGGGGTTGTTACTTCGCCCGTGGCAGCTACCCTGCGAAACCCTGCCTTCCCCGGTATTTCGGGGCACCCTCATCCAGTCAACCTAGTCAACTTCTCAGTGGATCGCTTAGGTTCCGCACCCACCATCAGCATCCAACGGAATCTGCCGGGTCGACAGCAGCCTAACCCCATTCCTGGTCGGCTTGCAGGTTAACTTATCCCAGGTCACCTCCGTCCATCAACTAGGGGCGCAATGCCTTCCACCATCGGAAGGACTTTGATCCTAGCGGGTATCGATCCCGGGATCTCCCGGGGGCAATGGTCGCACCTTACCAGTAGTGCCAAACCCTAATATATGATGGTGGTGGTGCGGACTGTCGCTTGGGATGAGATAGTGATGATGGAGATGTTTCGCCATGATGATGGAACTCCAGAAAAGGTTGAGAATGTGATGTTGCCTTTTCAAAAGGTGGATTAATCCTCCCGCTTCCCCTTCTCCCTCTTCTCCCCCTTCTCCCCGTCTTCCCCTTCTGCCCCTTCTCCGACTTCTGCCACCCAACAGCGTGACGTCCAAAACTTCCTGTTGCGCTCAACCCCAGCCTTGATGTACGGCACCACGCTCTACCAGGCGGGTGCTGTCGTATCCTTCCTCAAGTCGTTGGGCCTCAAAGACGATCTGCTTGCCTCCCGCGTGCTGTGCGTGTGGCCGGAGCTGCTGGGCCGCGACGTGGAGGGGCAGCTGCGGCCGGTGGTGACGTTTCTGATGTCTCTAGGGCTGGAGGTTGCTGCTGTGGGGCGGGTGGTGGTGATGTGGCCGGAGGTGCTGCTACGGAGTGTGGAGGGCCAGTTGGCGCCGTGGGTGACGTATCTACGGGAGCTGGGTTGCAGCACAACGCAGGTATGTACGGCGTGGATTGTGCGTGTACGGCATGAATGTATGTGTACATGTGCGTGTGTGTGTGGCGTGCATGCGCGCGAGATCCTGAGAGCGCGCGTGTGTGTGTGTGTAAGAGGGAGGTAATGTGAGAATGTGTCAATGCAGGGTTTGAAGAATGTTGGCGGCGTGTTTTTGTTATGAGAAAAATACTTCCCTTTTTTGGCGAGTTTGCAGTATTTTGATGAGATTTTCGTGCTGCCTGCACTGCGTCATGTTCTTTTTCGGGCCATACATGCACCGCATACATGCACGTGCATGTGCAGGTGGGAGATGTGATCGGTCTGTGTCCACACCTGCTGGGTTTCAAACCCGAGGAGGTGTTCGGCGATGTACTGCGAGCACTGGGGGATCTGGCGGGCATCTGTCGCGAGGATGTACGGCAGATGTTGTCATCCTCCGTGGCCTTTCTCATCGCGCCGTCGGCCTCGGCTGGCGTGCGGGCGGCTCTGGAGTGCCTGCTGCGGCACGGTTTCGACAAGGAGCAGGTGCGCACCCGTGTTGTTTCAGATCATCTGAGCGGTGGACGGGAACTTCGGGGGCAGGCACACGCGAGTAGCTTTACCAAAGGAAGTAGTCCAGCGTCCATGCTTAGTGTGTGTGTGTGTGTGTGTGTGTGTTGTGTACGCATGCAGGTTTGTGCTTGGGTGTTAAGTTGTCTGTCGGTTCGTCCTTGTGTCTATTATATGTTTTGTTTGTTTGTATTTGAGCTTTCCTGATGATCCCTTTTCCCGCCACCAGTACCTTCCTAGTCACTGAGTTGCTTGGACTCTGGCCAAGTTTCCTCAACGGCTTCCCCTTCCCTCCCCACCTTCCGACCTGTCCACCTCGCCGAAGGGTCAGGGTCAGGTCTCAAAGTCCCTTCGGTTTTTAACCCAACCCACCAAAACCCCGACTCCCAACTCCCAACTCCCAACCGCCCCAGGTTCGGGAGATGGTTCTGGCCCGCCCCGAGCTACTTGCCGCCAAGCCCCACGACCTAGAACGCAGTCTCAAATTCGTGTACCACACGGTGGGCGGCAACAACTCCACCGTTCTGTCCTGTCCGCTGCTGCTCACCAAGCCGCTAGGTCAGGTGCTGGGGCCCAGATACAGGTGGGTCTGGTGTGGAGGAGGGGTAGCACCTCCCCCTCACAAAAGTCTTTTCTTTTCCGCAACACATATATACCCGTCTTTATTCCCCAAACGCCCGCAGTTTCATCCAGAAACAGGGTTTAGCGCACAAGTACGCCGGGGCGGATGGCAGCACCTTTGAGGTGCGTGGGGTCAAGCCCTGTGCAGGAAATTCTGGTGCACACGGTGATGCAGAGTGCCGTTCTGCCCTCATACATGGATCGGGAGATCTGAGGGGTGTTAAGGTGTATTACCCACCACGCCTCGAGGCCCCGTGCTGCGGCCTCCCACCATAATCTCCTTGCTTGTGTCGAAGGACCCCTGTCCCCGCGCAGCCTTCCCCCCGTCCCCCCTTTCCCGGTTTTCCTCCACTCCCCCGACCGCACGTTTGACCCTCCATTCGGATACAGTTTTACAAGTTGTTAGTGGCGGAAGACGCCCAGTGGTGCGCGTCATTGGGGCTGAGCGTCAACGAGTATCAGGGATTCAAACTGGTGAGACAGGCCGTGAGGGAATTGGAGTCGGAAGGAAACACACTTAGCCCTAAACACGGAGGGCGCCTGGGAGGGCGCGGGTTTCAGCGGCGGTTTCACGGAGGCGGCAAGAAGGGCGCCGCGAGGGAGGATGGGGCCACTAAAAATGGATGAAGACAGGAGGGGGAGGGGTGAAAGGGAATGAGCGAAAGACTAGGGGGCCAGGGCGCCATCGTCTCGGACACCGGCACGATTGCTGACGGCACGATTGCTGATGAGCTGTGTTTATTGCGTTTCGCGTCCATCCTCGTCATCCATACGTCCCCCCCCCTCGTTCATGGTCATCACCCAGGTTTGGGATGAGGAGTACAGTTTGAAGCTGCACCAAGAAGCTGCCAGCGAGTTCCAAGAAGAGCTCAAGAAGCTCGGGATATACGAGGGCAGTTGAGAGGGGGCAGCTTAGATAGCGTAGATGGGGGGAAGGGCAGGAGTGGGGTCCATGTAGGGTGGGCTGGGAATCGGGTTGAAGGTGTTGCTCATGCAGGTGCTGAGGAGATTGCTCCGAGGCCGGAATGGTTAGCGGTTTCTTTGTCGCCTTTTTGCTCGTGCGTATGTATGTATGTGTGTGTGAGTGTGAGAGCGGGGGGTTATGACGTAATGAGGCTGTGCTGCGAGAGGACACCAAGCCGGCGCGCAGAGAGCGCAGAGAGTAAGTGAATTCTACTGGTCTGTGTCTATGGAGTGGCTATTGGGAGAGAGTAGCGATGGAGGTAGGGAACATGTATGCTGTACGTGCGTATGTATTCGCAGCCAAGGTAGCGCCTAGAGTAGTTGGGGAGACAGCGAAGCGGTTTGGCAGCGAAGTGATGGGTTATTACCCGCAGCGCATTGCACCCTTATTGCTGCCTTTCGAGCCGGTGGTCTGGCACGTGGCGCGGAGCGGGGAGTATGACCATGCCAGACCATGGGTGGGAATTGCCACCTGTGGGACGTGTCCAGCAGTCTTGAAAAAGAGTAGGCTCGGGCGTTGATGCAGTGGGCGTCACCGCGCTCTGTGAGATAGCTCTATACGATTTTATATTAGCACGGTTTCCTTCGCGGCGACAGATTACAGATAATAGGAGGCGATGTTTTCCTTTCCTCCGTGGCTTTTAGGCGTTGAAGTATTGCCCTTGGGCCTTCGGCTCGCACCCCCAACCATGTAACACACACACATATGAGGCATACGCTTTGGACACGTTCTTGATATGGATATGGAGGTGAAGTCGGCGTTTCGATTCCTATTCGCATCGTCACACCAATTTGTGTGTGCGTTACATGGTCGTGGGGTGCGTTCCCCGTACCTGCAAACCGCCCTAATGCGAGCCGAGGGCTCAAGGGCTGCCAAATCGCCTATAAGCACCATCCGACCTCGCACTCCAGACAAAGCAAAGTGATAAAGGATATAACGACCAAAGGGAACGATAGAGTTGCGGTGGGACCATCCTTGCCAGACGTTCAGGTTCCGATGTATCAGACACGGTTCTTACACGGTTCTTACATCATGCGCCAAGCCAAGCCAAAGACACGCAACACCAGCACCATGCTAAAATGAACTTCTAAATCCCCGCCAAACCGCCCCTCTGCCACTTACACCCCTTGCAAACATTGAATTCAGATGACGCGGTAACTGCGATCAACGAAAACCGTAGCACGTGGGAGAACCGCAGACCTGACACGTACCCTCAAAGGAAAGAAAACTTCACAGCAAATGACCAACTCTTGAAAACCACGCCGGAGTCCAGCAGAGGAAGCTCTACTGTGCTACGGATGGACCCTACGGCTTGTAGGGCCCCGCGGCTCGTACAGCGCGCTTGGGCCCTGCATCTCGTACAGCGCGCTTGGGCCCTGCATCTCGTACGGCGCGCTTGGGCCCTGCATCTCGTACGGCGCGCTTGGGCCCTGCATCTCGTACGGCGCGCTTGGGCCCTGCATCTCGTACGGCACGCTTGGGCCCTGCATCTCGTACGGCACGCTTGGGCCCTGCATGTAAGGCGCGCTTGGGCCCTGCAGCTCGTACGGCGCGCTTGAACCCTGCAGCTCGTACGGCACGCTCGGGCCCTGCAGCTCGTACGACGCAAACGGGCCCTGTGGCTGGCGGGACCTCCGTCGGCTTTGCGGCTGGTTACGGCCGGAATGGGCAGCACTGCGCCCCGTAGTGCGACCCCCGAAAGCCCTGCGGAAGGGCTGACCAACGCGGGACGTAGGGCTGGGCCTTGCCGAAGCCGTTCCTGCTCCGGTTGTCGATCCTGGCGAGCCCCACACGGGCCGTGGCTGGACCGGGGGATGGGTGATTGGCACCCAGACAGGTCCCGCTGGCGTGGCCACCAGTTGGGACAGCACAGGCACCATGGGCGGCTCCGTCCACAGGAGCCCTCCGTCGGGTGCCACCCAAGCCGTGGGTGCGGCGACTGGTGTCAGGAGCCAGGCGGATCCGGAAGGTGCTGGCATGACAGCGGGAAAAGGCTCTGTGCGTGATGACGCCGGTACCTGCGTGGAACGGGGCCACGGCAGGCCGGGAAATGAGTTCGTGGTAGATGCGACAATGGTCACTGGGTAGGTAGGTGAGCTGATTGCCCTCGCCGCATTCATATCATACATTATTGGGTAGCACGTGCAACGCCGCGGTTAATAATGGAGGACCGAGAACTATGGTTAGGTTATAGCAGGTCAGCTTAACAGGTACCGGTATCATGTTTATGCGGGTGAGAGCAACACAGCGATGGCGAGCGATGGTGATGTGAGCAAGCGTTGCAGCGAGCGAGCCGCATATGTGAAACGCACGCAGGCACAGTAGGTGTGGCAGCAGGCAGAAGCTGCTGGTCGTGTCTTCGTTGTTACCGGGGCAGCCTCGAGTGGCGGCGCAACTGGCCCGTGCCAGGTGGTGGTGGACATCATCATTGCCACAGGTGCTATACTCTGGTCCCGGCAATGACTTGGATGAAGGAGTTTGCGTGATGGCGACCCACCTCGACCCGCCTTAACCTGCACTTGGTCGTTTCACGTCCAGATGCGCGCCGGACGCAAAATGCGGAGGATAGAAGTGAGTTTCAATATGTATTTTTCCTGAAGAAATGAAAACTGAAGAAACTTTCAGAAAGCCCCTTAAGCTCAACAAGCAAACAACAGTAGAGCGTTACACAGGCTGCAACCATCTTGCAGCCCTGCAGCACTTTGCCCTGAGACATTACCCAACTCACTTCAAGCTTGAAGGTGTTCGCCTTCTTCGCGTGGGGGCTTGTTTATGGGCCCCGATCCTGCAGCGGCCAACAAGAAGCGCGTAGCTAGTTCTGGCTACTGAGCCATATTTCCCAGAATAATACACAAAGTCTTAATACCTATTTTCATTTTAGCTCCTGATTGTTTCTGCCTCCTTAATATCGCAAGTCCTCCTATTGGAAGCCTCGACCGAGGCCGAGCCGTACTACAGATCAGCTTCAGTCCAGAAGCTGCAACTTTTTGAAATCTTACACTTTTATCTTAGATTAAATAAGTGTTTGTCTATGAAAAACCTACTTGAAGTGCGTATCGCACTGCCCACAGCTATTAACCTTCAAGGCAACCGATGAGTCGGGACGAAGGAATAGAGGCACGCTTTGAGGCCATCACTCGTTGTTTTTGTAGACCTTGACAACAACAAGCGATCTTGATATTGAGCACCATTCTACACAAGCAACTAGCCATGTTTCGTCTGAATAAATCCCTCAGCTTATAATCTCGGGACAGTTGGCCATGTACGCATGTCCGCAGCGGCTCATCAGCCGTGGTGTTGCCAGGCGAAGCTTCCAGGACCCTCCGTGTTCAACATTATAGCTACGCCTGCAGTTTCTACATGTACTTTGAGGGAGTAGAGATGGGAGCTAGCGTTCCGTGTGTGTGGGGAAGGGCGACTTCAACGGGGTTGAGGGGTTTGGAGAAGACATTCAGAGAGCATCCAACAATGAGATGAACCTGTGTCCGTTAGTTGGGAAGCAGCTTTGCCTGTGGCCTGCTGTGCCAGATTTTCGACGGCCAGGGACACACAGCCTTGGCCGGTCCAGGGTCCCAAGGGGTTCCATCTTCGCGTACCAACTCGCTCGCACCAGCTACAAGCTAATCATTAAGGCTATGATTTGCTTTGTATAAAAGCGTTGCTACTTGAGGAGTTCTTCTTGTTTTACGCCCAGTTCAAAGGACAATTAAAGACATCACAGATCCCTCACCTCCTGCCTGCGAATCAATTTTCCAATCATTTTTAAAACGTTCACCGTTATGTCTCTTTATCAAAACATTTAGGCCTCTATTTGCGCAAAGTCAATTCCTTTAAGTGTCGCTTGAGCTGGCTTGAGCCTCTTCACGAATGGTCGCTCTGCTCCATCTTTACTCAGAGAAGAAATACTTGCCTTACTAGCTGAAAAACTAAGCTTACCTGTTATTATTGACGAAGTGCAGAAAGTACCTGCATTACTTGATGAAATCGATTGGCTTATTGAAGATACAGAAAAAGCATTTGTTTTATGTGGATTAAGTGCTTCTCACTCGAACAAAGATCAAACCTGTAGTATGACATTCTATAGCTTACTGCTGAATAAGGTTTGTAGGTTTTGGCATCGTGCATAACGAGCTAAAACTTGAAGTTCAATCTCCGTTGCCTGCGCCTGCTGAGTCAGAGGCATAAACAAATTCTCCAGTTTACGGAACAAAGATGATGAAGCAGCGATATATATTTGAACAGCATGATGCAGCAGAGGATACAGCTTTCATACTGCTGCGACATACAGAGCACAGGCAAACAGGGAAAGCTGTCGCCCATACTGCTAGAATACTGTTCATGTCAGGCAATGCCCTGGACTGCGCGATGAATGTTACGCCTGCCTATACGGCTATTCCCAGGCGGGTGTGTTGGGGCCGCGGGACATTGAGGCCGCCATCATGGACACGGCCGGCGATGCAGGGCGCGCGCTAGCCTGGTACCCCGGGTTGTTGATGGCATGGCGGTTTGATAAGGTCAGTGCATGTGCGTCGGGCAAAGGCAAGGCTAGCGTGTTGGTCTGCCTGACAAATGTTAACCCACATGGGAATCCTGACATGGCGCCACAGGCGGATACATTCTTCCGGGATAATCAGCTTCCAGCATACTACGGCAAAATCGACTCCATCCGGTCCGTTGTCTGCAGTTTCTCCTCCGCAGCTGTACGGCCGTGTGCCGCGTGTCTGGCCCTCAACAGAAATCACCAATTGAAGCGTTCAGCCGACGCTGCTTCACTGCGAGTCGCTGCGACACAGCGAGTCGCGACAGACCCAAGTGTCATTGTCCCCTTCCGTTCTGCCGAGGGACTTGAGCGTGCGGGACACGTTGAGCTCTTTGAGCGGCTCAAGGTGGTCACATCCACATTGATCACCGAGCGGGCAGATCGAATAGCGCTGGACAGGGAGATTAAGCGGTGGACATCCCTTTTCCAGGCTGATAGAGTGAGGCTACAGGCATACGCTCGGGCAGATGCATCACGCAGTGAACTCATCCGACTGCTCGAAACATCACAACAACGAGGTATGATGCAGTGTCGGCATGTGTGAGTAGTGTAGGCTGGCGTGCGCGTACACATGCCTTGACTTGTTAACCATCGGACCTCGATTGACTTTCAGGACTCGTTGACGGCACAATTTAACAGTTGCTACGGGGTATCATCCGGGGTCTCAGCGTCAAAGGACAACAACGCCAGCCGGAGGAGGTAGCTTTTTACATTGCCCCTTGCAGTGACGTGGGTGTCCGTGCTCCAACCCGTCGTGCTGACTATTGACCAAATGCACATTGGCTGGCGCCTAAGGTACACGGGCCTGCTGTGGGGTACATTAAAAGCCAGGAGCATGGCCATGCGTTCACGGGCGAATGACTGGTACCAAATAGGATCAGCAATGTCGACACTGTAACACGTGCTGCAGGTGCCAGCTCATCAACCCCCGGAAGATGATGATGATCGGGCCATACCTCATCAGCTTCCCTGCACTGTGCACGCTGAGCAAGCACATGCCCCATGTCAACATCTCGTCACAGGATCTCAACTACAAGGACAAACAGAACCAGCGCGCCACTCTCAAGGAGGCTCTATCCAACCTGGAATTAGGTACAGACTGGTTTGTGGCTGACTTACCGCCATTCACTGACAGACAGGTTGGCCGACCTCGACATGGATCCCTCAACTGGAAGCGTCAAGGCAGTCAGTGTGCTGCATGACGCACTGGAGACAGGTTCACGCAGTCCGGTTGGCGGTGATGGTCCTATCGTTGACGGCTCGTATTATGCTACCTTCCTCTATGTGACGTTCATGCATTATTTAGTAGCTGGCCGCTGAAAAGGCCTCTCGAGATGCTGGTGGTCGTGCTATGCGTGTACCAGCTTACTGTGCTTACTGTGTACCAGCTACTACAGCTAGATTGTGCCGGGCCACACTACTGCAGGGCAGGCGTGTGTGCTTACATTTGTCTGCGTGAATGATTGGATGTATGAATGAATGGACGAATGAAAGGTGTGGTTAACAT